TCAAAAAAAATCTTCAACTACAATCTAAACAAACAAATATTGATAAGGTGTTTCAAAAAATAGCTACAAACGATTCTAAGCAAAAAGAAAGGAGAGATCAAAAATTTATTAGTATGTTAATTAAGGACCAATTGCCAATCAATATAAGAGAAGGAGCTGGCTTTACTAAATTTTTGGCGGAATTTAATCCTTACTACCAATTGCCTTGTAAAAGGCGTATCTGAAAATTGCTTACAGATGCTTTTTTAAATTTCAAGGAAATTTTTAAAGAAGTACTTCATAATAATATTATAACTTGTTCTTTGACGTGTGATCTGTGGACAAGACAGAATCGTATAGAATATTTCAGAGTTATCTGTTCATTTATTGATAATAACTTTCAATTAAATGAACTTGTCCTTGCAATAAATATTTACCATATCTGCACACTAATGAGGCAATTGCTAAAATATTAAATTCTATAATTGATGATTAGAAATTAATAAATAAAATTTTTACTGTCACAATGGACAATGGGAGCAACATGATTAAGGCTGCTAAGTTTATGCCAAATATTGTTCAAATTCTATATGCAGCCCATATCCTACAATATGCTATTGGGAAGAGATTGTTAGATGCTGAGGTTTTTCATAGCACATGCTAAAAGACTTATGCTCTTTTTTACTACGCCTAAACAAACGGAAAGATTAATCAACGCTCAAAAAAATCTGCATTGATTTGAAAATATAGTAAATGCAAGATTAGAATTTTATTGAAGTCCAGATTGGGTAAAGATGAAAATATAATATTTTGTATTAGTGATATTAAATATGTTATTTAAATGAAATATTGATGTATTATTTTTATTATTAAAAAATTTTGTTGTAATAATATTAAAGAACAAATATATAATAAATTATTAAATATTTTTAATAAATTAGACGATATTTGTCAATAGAACTCTAGAATTCTAATGCACAACATATATCAATTTACTTGTAATTTTAGAATCTAAAAGATAATGACTATCAATTACGAATTATTGCAGATGTTCCCACGAGATGGAACTTATCATATCTTACTTGGCAATGACTTTTAAAAATTCAGGATATTATTAGTATAATAATTGCTAATTTAACTCTGAATAATGATTTGCAAACTCGAAAAGATGGTTCTTGCCTAGAAAAAATTAATCTAATGAATGATGAATGGAATGCCATAATATCATTAACTGCAATCTTGAGGCCTTTTGCTGAAGTGACCAAACTTTGG